TCAGACACATTATACTGACTCCGAGCCGACCAGTCCTTGTTGTGCCCATTAATGCCGAGCGCCAGGCAGGGACCAACAAGTACCATATTTTAACGTCTTTTTGGTATGACGCGGTCGGGGATCGAACCCGCGACCTTCCGCTCTCCGGCGGACGCTCTAACCACTACACCACGGAGGCGGTCGCTGGGGGATAGAGATATCAGCTAAGATAAGATCATCCTTTAGGGCAATTATACTGGGGAGGTACACGGCACGTCATAACAATTTACAAATAATATCCAGTCATGTCGATTTTCGGGTGGTCATGCCACCAATATACTACGATGCGTTTCTATGGTTTTCGGGTATCATACTCTTTTACATATCTCAACATAAACTTTATGAAAGAAAGACACGTAAGATGTTAATCAATAGATGAGACATAGTCAACACACATGAAAAAGCACAAAATATCTTTGAGACGACCCCTTGTGCCTGTAGGCAGCACGTGCATTTCATGCCAAGTGAGTCGACGGTCCGTCTTCATACCTGGCTGAGCGACCTAATTGCCATCTATAGTCTGATCTATTGTTTTCAGCAGCTCTTCGAATTTTTTCTTAGTTTTGACCGATTTTACGAGTAAACATGCTTTTCTGGATATCGTATTACGCATCCCACTGAACGCCCAGTTAGACCGAAGTGGGTTATTTCGACATATGCTATTTGCAATTGTGTAAATTTTAGGGATACAGAGTAACAGCCTAAAACAGTTTTTTTTCTATTTTTGTCAGTACTTTAGTCAAGAGGGATTCCCTACAAGAGAAGGGAGGTAACTCTGTGTAATCTGCCTGACTACAGTTTTGGTAAACTTACGTCACTGACAGATTACAGTTGAAAATTAAAACAACAATGTCTTTATTGTTTGAACTAAATGCCTATATAGTGAAAAAGAGACATGATAAAGCAATCTGCCATATTAACATGTCAAACATTTTTTAACTCTCAAAAAGCACAATAGTACACCAATATCTTAAAAATCTTAAAGAAAATATTAGGCTTACTCCTATGGTAACAAGAAAATGCTGAAATTCCATAATTATGGTAGAAACACTGATATCAACCATTGAGTACCGACTCTGAAAAGTCTTTTGGTGTTCTGCTGTGTACATAATGTCCATAGAAAACAGACTGTTTTCCATCTCCCGACTTTCATGACAATTTTAGGATCCTGACAATTCAGAATCACCAGTGATGCTCCTGTTGGACGGAACGATTTTGCAGAAAACTGCTTGGAAGAGAGTCCGGCATCTTTTATGGATTGTTCTAGAATCTCTGAAACAGTAGATGCTTGCACAGAGACAAGAAAACACTACTAGTGTCCATTCAGAGAGAGTCTGTCCGACCTATGTAATCCTTCAAGGTCCAACTTGCTGCAATCTGCAGGCTGAACCAAAACCTCAAAACCAGTACGTGAAGTGTCATTTTTTATGACAAAGAAGTTTATAGTCAGAGAACCATCTGCATGAAAAGACAATTGATTCGTTGTAAACTTGTTGCTCTTAGTCAAGCGGGTCTGGGCATCATAATGTACCGATTTCAAGGCGATATCTGATGGGCGCAACCTAGCCACCACAGCTAATAGAGTCACTGCCTTTTGGCGGAGCTGTTTTATTGACAACATTTTGTTATCTGGCCATCATTGGAACAGATCATTCAATGCTGATACTGGCATCACCGTGGAACGCTGCATAGGAACCTCTGTACCAGACTTCACTAGAGCCTTTACTAATCTAGATACATTAGGAGTGTGCACAATGTTCTGAAGATTCATAGTTTCATACAGACAAGGTATAGCCGCACATGCACTTTTCAACTGAGATCTAGGTTTAGGTGATGAATCCGCAACCTTACACAGAAAAGTTGCTAACACAGATGTACTAGTAGGTGGAAAGACACATTTCTCTTCAATGTGATATCTGATCAGCAGCTCGAGTCGTCCACTCAGAACGAATTAACCATTCCCTCCATAGATCTTCCAAGCAAACAGTCTGCATTTTGGATTTGCCAGTGGTTCCGGTTTTGCTAACAGTGGAAGGCAACAACGTCATTGACGAGGAAGCTTTAGAGGTGAGCACATTGATAGTTTCTGAAGACAAGGAAACCATGTCTGGGCTGGCCACCATGGCGCTATCACTGTGGTAAAGGACTTTGTGGACACAACTTTTTGCAGAATGTCTGGTATCAATCTGAACGGAGCGTTGACAAAATTGTTGTGTATATGCCAATCCTTCTGAGCCAGCCTGTCGACTCCTTGAGTGTACGGATCGCATGTTCGACTGTTGTAGACTAGCAGCTGTGTGGTTTGATACGACACAAATTTGTCAACTGTGTGTGGTCCCCACATGTAATCCAGCATGTTGAAGACACGTGGTTGTAACCTCCACTCGTACCAGTCGAATCGGCGGGATAGCATGTCCGCCTCTACATTCTCCACCCCGGGTAGATGGCGAGCCACTAGCATAATGTCTCTGTCTAAGCAGAGCTCCCATATTCTTGTTGCCAGCTCTGTTAACTCCTTGATGGGACCTCCAATGTGATTGAGGTAAGCCATTGTTGTCACATTGTCCGATAGCAATTGAATTTTTCGGCCTGTCAGGTGAATCGAAAATGACTTTAGAGCCCTTAACACAGCAAGCATTTCTCAAAAGTTTATTGACTGAAATGAAGTGTCCACTGTCCATACACCCTGTGCTAAAAAGGCCTTTGAAAACTGCTCCCAAGCCGGTGTTCGAGGCATCCGTTTCGAGCTGTCCGTCGAAAGGTCCTCACAAGCATAGTGGTACCGTTCCAGGAATTCAAGGCGCTTATCCACCATTTCAGATCTGAAAGGCTATCATCAGTCCAAACTAATGTTGATACCCATGTGTGTTTGCTCGCAAGAAGCCTATACACTGACCTAAGCTTAAGTTTTCCTGGAAATATTGCTCTACAGACAGAGATACACTGGCCTGCAAGGCGCGCTAAATGTCTAGCTCTAATGTAAGGGACAGATATCGCTCTCCGTATGTCCTTCTTCAACTTTCTCACCTTGTGATTCCGAACCTTTAGAACAGGCACACCCTTAGGTCCAACAGAATCCACAAAGAATCCAAGAAATTCCTTTCTAATACTAGGACTGAGAGAAGATTTGTCATAATTTATCACCCATCCAAGAAACTCTAACACACAAATTACCTTGTTAGCATGGTCTGAAATAAGCTCCTTCTTAGCTACAATGATAATATCGTCCATGTTCACCAGGAGTCTTATACCTAACCCACGAAGATGTCGAGCAACTGGTCTGAGAGTCTTACAAAAAAAGTCTACGGGCTTACTGATAACTCAAAAGGGAGCAAATTCCACTAATAAAACCATCCATGCCAATGAAACCCAAAGTATTTTCTATCATCACTGTGAATTGGTACATGGTGAAATCCATCCTCTAGATCCAGTGTAACCAAATAGTCATTTGGCTCAATAATGTGTGACAATTTATGTTCATATCTAAATTTTGGTACTGAACAAATAGAGTTCACATATCGCAGATCAACAATTAAGCGCGACTTGTGATTGTGTTTACGAACAACACCTAGAGGATGCACACAATATGGTTTATCAGACACTCTTTGTATAGCTCCAGAAATTGTCAGTCTTGAAATCTCTTCATTGACAAAGTTAATCTGAGAACCTGTCAAACGATGATTGTCTTGAACACTTACAGAAGAAGAGCAATGGAAAGTTAACACCATTCTGAATCCAGGATAATATAAACTCTGGACATCCAAAATTTTGCCATTTCTGGTAACACCTAAGTAGAGCCATTACTGTTCATGATCCACTCGAGGAGTGTTATTGTGAAAAGGTGGTCCGTCCCGGCGACCGTAGGAGAATCTACCCCCTGAACCTTGGTAACCTCGGACATAACTACGCCCTCGGTTGAACCCACTGTTCCGTGGTGGCTTGAATGCAGCCGCAATGGTGGTTGCGTTACGTAGGGTATTCAAGGATTCTTCATTAAATGAACATGTATTTCTCTGCAGTGTCCTGTATATCCTTGTAGTATTGCGGTCAAACTGGCCTTGAACTATCAGAGATGACTGTTCCTCCTGCAGATAACGTATCTGTGCGAGTTGAACTTGATATAGTTTAATCAAAGCGTCCTGTATAATGTTTCTTGCATCAGAAACAAAGGTTTCAATGTTGTTTCACTATAATGCACACACCTTTCTACAACTGCCACATCTTGTTGATCCTCACGTTTAATACCCTGCTTAGAATCAGGCACTTTCAAGTCTGCAGGGAGTTTTACATTGGTTACAGTGTCATGTATTGTTTGATACTCTCCCTGAATATCCAAAGCTGCACTTCATATAAAAGCGGCACCTTGGGCACTATCGTGCTGAATCCCCTCGGTATTTAACTCATCACTTGAAATATCATCTGTTTGGCTAGCACTGTTGCTATGTCTATCTCGCACACATGCGGTAGGGTCAAAGTTCACTGAATCATGCGGACCCGACTGACTATCAACGCTCTCAAAGATATTAGACAAGCATCTAAGAGAACAAACATCATGGTCTAAACGATCTAACCTATGTCTTGTATCACTATTCTGCACTTTCACCTCCTTCAAAGCTTCAAGTATATCATTTAACTTGCAATTTTCTTCATCAGCCTTTTTGGCCATGTTGACAAGATCAACTAGTCAACCTTCCTTGACTAGAGATTCCCTACAAGGGAAGGGAGGTAACTCTGTGTAATCTGCCTGACTACAGTCAAAGCAAGTATATCAGGCAGCCTCCTCAAAGTATGATCTAATAATTACTTGGGAATTATGTCCCATTATTACATCAACCTGAACACCTTTTCCTCTTATCCTCCTTATTTTATACCACTAAGGGTGGTTAAGCTCAAATATAAAGTGAGATATATACTATGGATGTTTCTGCATGAGGGGTAAGCACAAATGTAAGATACATTACCCATCCAGCAGGTGAGCTTCCAGTGGACTGGTCTGCAGGAGGAGGGCCACTGCATGCAACAGGAACGGGATCACAATGAAGGTGAAACACTGCACAAACAAGTGAACGTTCACTTGGCAGAGAGCAGCAGTCAGTTGCTAAAAAACAATCAAATAGCAGTAAGAGAAATGTATATTTTGTCACATGAACCTCAGTGTACCAGGGTCTATTACTAACTGAGAGTGTAAACTCATAACCTTAGCAGTTAGACAGGTTATTACTAAGACTCTGAACACAGATCCATACAAGAACACCATACATCAACCTGATAACAGAACACAGGGCCATACAAGAATACCATACATCAACCTGATGACAGAACACAGGGCCATACAAGAATACCATACACCATCCTGATGACAGAACACACAGCCATACAAGAATACCATACATCAATCTGATGACAGAACACAGAGCCATACAAGAATACCATACATCAACCTGATGACAGAACACAGGGCCATACAAGAATACCATACATCAACCTGATGACAGAACACAGAGCCATACAAGAATACCATACATCAACCTGATGACAGAACACAGGGCCATACAAGAATACCATACATCAATCTGATGACAGAACACAGAGCCATACAAGAATACCATACATCAACCTGATGACAGAACACAGAGCCATACAAGAATAACATTAACACATATAAGAATGCCATTCGCTCATCTGATGACAGAACACAGAGCCATACAAGAATACCACCCCATACATGAATTCCACATCACACAAGAATTCCACTCACTTTGCATGTGACAGAACACATGGCCATACAAGAAGAATACCACACACTTAGATGATGACAGAACACATATCCATTGAAGTATTTATAAAAGGTCAAAAGTTAGATTATTCTAATTGACAGTATTTACGTACCTCAGTTTTCAATGAAAGGCCACTGTTGAAGAATATTATAGAAACTCCAATGTACTTCACAGTTACCTCTGGCTTTAAGAAACCTGGTAAAAGTGAAAAACAGTTTTGTCTGAAATATGTCAATACTCAAAACTAATTTCTGTGAAAGACTGAATGTTGTTTCATCCCGTAGTAACCTAAAACCTAAAACCAATCTGTAGAGACCATGCCAACCAGTGGCTGTAAGCATGAAATACAAACAAGCATTTCTTCTTGTATTGTAAGACATCTAAAACCTTAGAAATGAGATAAAATGCCATTTTGTTTCATCAACTATTCAATTTTCCTTCAAATTATTATTTTGTTTTCCCATAATCATTTCAATTTCATTTTGTCCTCATAAAATATGTTTTTGTCCATTTGAAATTGGTCAGAAACATAATACAACCATTTTCAAATTACTTAAATTACTATCTACAGCTCCACTCAGTGTAGTGTTTGTGCAGTCCTTGATTCACCAACAGGTTATCGGCTCCAAAGTCTTATATATACATATGTAACAGTATTTTTCCTAATTGACTGGAAAATACTCAGATGTTTTATGAATTAACCTGGAGTTTTAAGAAAAGTAAACCATTAATAATTTGACCTTCAGGAACATTGACCAAACAGGGAGGTCACTAACACATATATCAAGACCAGTCTTGAGAGATTGTAAAATGTTTTAGTAAATTCCATACTATGAAAACCCCCGAAAGGTATCTTTGTACACAAGCATTTCTATGCCATATTTATACTGAGCAATCTTAGCCTTCAATGTCGTCTAATCATGAGTCAGAAATATGAAACATCTATTATTTATTGCCTGATTATACAGGATTGAATGGTGGTTTCTAACATCCTGTTGGATAGCTAACAGTTGTTTATTGGTACCTAATACGTCAAAACCCTTCAAACTTAGGCACTATGAACATTGTAGAATATTAAATTCAGAAAGATTTCAAGGTCATAAGCAAATTATGGTCAATTTCAACTGTATTATTTCTATATTTGCGTCCCTTTTCCCACTTGTGACATCATCAGGTGACCCATTCATATTATCTTCCAGTGTGTCAGTGACGTCACTTCCACCCCTGAAGTCATTTATTGTGGCATGGATTGTCACCTCCAGGCATGATGTTAACTGCTCTGCCCTTCTCTCAGTTGATAATTAAGGTATAAAGGTTAACTTGCCTTCCAAAGCTGTAGCTGCCGGAATTCTGCCCCAAACAACTCCACTTCTTACTAGAAGGGAGACTACTGCTGGAGACTCCAGGGAGTTAAGCTTGAATATCATGGAAGTGGAAGTTACTGAACAAAGAGTGGGACTTGCATTGGCAGCCAGGGACCACTTGTTCAATGGAGACCAGGCTTCAAGATACTAGGCAGGTTGACATAGCCCTCTCTTTGTGTGTTGTTAATGATCCCAACAAAGGAGTACTAGATAGTGTACAGGTAGATATTTCTGTGTGACTATCTGCAAACATGGTTTTCAAGCATGCCGCATGTGACATGTTATGTTACACACAGTCTTACAGAACATGAGCTGTGTCCTGGTTCCATTTATGATTTGTCACTGCCAAATATTACCCAAGATCAGGTTGATCTACAGCTATACTCAGTGCAGAGTTTGTGCAGTCCGTGATTCACTAACAGGTTATCGGCTCCAAAGTCTGTGAAATATTCGACAGTGATAAAACTCCAAACCTCTGTGTGACAGGAGCAGGCAGCTGCGACACTTTAGCTGCTTGGGCTAGTAATAATAATAATAATAATAAGTGTTCTTGTATAGCGCACAAATCAAACTGCAAGGCAATTTCTCTAGGCGCTAAAAGATAGAGTGATCTGAAGAAAGGATTAAAGTTCATAAGCTTGTTTAAAAAGGAAAGTTTTCAGTTGGGACTGGAAAGATTCCACGGACGCGGCTTGTCGGATGTGAAGAGGCAGTGAGTTCCAGAAAAGGGGAGCTGTGTAAGAGAACTGTCTATGTCCATATGACTTTAATCTGACCTTGGGGACATTCAACTGACAATTAGAACTTGATCTTAAAAACCGTGGTGGGACATATTCACTGAGGAGATCTTTCAGATAGATTGGAGCTTTGTCATGGAGGCACTTGAAAGCGAGAGTGAGGATTTTATATTCTATTCTCTGTTTTGTGGGCAGCCAATGTAAAGCGTATCAGCAATGGTGTAATGTGACTGCGCTTTGTTGACTCGGCAAATCAATCGCGCCCGCAGAGTTCTGAATCCTCTGGAGCTTGGACAATAGATCTTGGCGGATATTTACAAGAAGACTGCAGCAATAATCCAAACGTGAGAGAACAAGTGAACGAACTAGGTGGTGAGCTGCATCAAATGTCAGAATATCACGAATGGAAGCAATATTTCTGAGATGAAAATAGCATGACTTACAAACAGAGTTTACGTGTGTTTCCATGGATAAATTTGAGTCTAGAAAAACACCAAGGTCTTTCACGGAATCACTGAAAGGAACTTTCTCATTACCCACTACCAACGAAGACACATCCACCTTAGCAGTGCTACTGGGTGATCCACACAGCAAAACCTCGGTCTTACTGTCATTTAATCTCAGCTTCCTTTGTATCATCCATGCTTTGGAGTCAAGGATACAGTCTTCGATTATAGACATATCGGCTGGAAGTGAGTCGGTTTAGTGGAGCATAACAGCTGGGTGTCATCAGCATATGACTTCATTACATCACAACATGATGCCGAATGATATTGCCGAGATTCTTCATATAGAGTGAAAAGAGAATGGGCCCAAGAACGGAACCTTGTGGCACTCCATTATGTAAGCTGATCGCATTACCGCGATTTCACGTCTTGAATGACCACAGATTGTGTCCTATTATTGAGGTATGAGACAAACCATCCAAGAGCTGTGCCATGAATACCAAATTCTGTTTTCAGACACTCAGTTAGTTGAACATGGTCAATGGTATCAAAAGCCGCTGATAAATCAAGCAGCGTTAGAACTGTAACATAGCCCGCATCAGCTGCAGCAAGAAATCTCTCCATCACATGCAGAAGTACGGTCTCTGTGGAATGATCGGAGCGATATGCAGACTGATGCACGTCATAGAGATCATAGTAGATAAGTCTTGGTCTTCTGAGGTGGGGTCCATACTCCAGAGAGTTATGCTTGAATATCACGAAAGTGGAAGTTACTGAACGAATAGTAGGACTTGCATTGGAAGCCAGAGACCACTTGTTCTATGGAGACCAGGCCCAAAGACACTAGGCAGGTTGACATAGCTCTTTCTTTGTATGTTATCAATGATCAAAAAATATAATCACATCCATTTGTTATGTATCGCATGGTGTGGTTTCCTAAACCGATATTATAATTCTGAGGAATAGAAGCTAATGCTAATCTATAATCCTCAATCGTACCATGACAAAACTTTTTAGGTAGGTGTAAAAAGTCTGCCAACATGTGCACAATCACATCTTTACTCTCTGGTCACCGCCTATCGCTCCACCACCAACAACCATCTGTCAACTGCAGATGAAGAAACATTATGTCTGTTGACAGCCAACACTCAACACTCTAGTAGTTCTTTCCTGGGTAGTTTTGACAGTCTAGAGAGAGACAGAGAGAAGGAGGAGGTAAAGGAGGAGAGGAGAGAAATGATGATTTTAAGGGGGTGTGAGTGGGGGGTTCAGCAATTTTCTACACATGTACTATGGGGGTGTTAGCAATTTTGTACAACTACATTTTTAAAAATATGCTTACAAATTATGGGAAGGGGGGACGGGGAGGGGGGGTCATTGATATTGTACATGATATGCAAAGGGGGTACTTACTTTGTACATAAATTTGGGGGGAGTGGGGGTCATTCAGTGTACATGCTTTTGCATAAAAATCACCATCACCCCCTTTGCCATAAATTATGAATGGTCCCTAAGCATTGTTACGTTAGAACTGAATACTACCTCCATCATTTGATAAGCCATTTTCCTGAAACTTGTTTCTGATCAACAGGTTTAATTGAACAAAAAAAAAAAATCCATTCAGTTTTGTTGTCTTACTTCCTGGTGGTCTATCCGAACACCCCTGATAGAACCCTGGTTGTATCCCCTGATAAGCTCACGAAACATCATAATTTTTCCTTTGGTATTTTTTGTGCAAAATACTCCTGTGAGGACAATGAGCAGGCCTTTACCTGAAGTATTAGAGGTATTATTTTAAGAATTATCCCCCTAACACTTGATTAGCCGCATCCCACATGGGCTTGGTGGGCCCAGACTAGCCTGGACTAGGATAGGAAGACAACCATACTACTCACAGCTCCAGATGTTTACTGCTAAGACAAATAGACCTGCGTTTGGTTGTTTTGACAACACTCAAGGACATCTTAATAATGGTTCTAGTAGGACAGTCCACGAACTCTCTGAGGTCCTTGCGGCTGATATTGTCCATGTGGCTTTTTGTGGACCATATGGTTAGCCTGGGTCAAGTGACTGTTGTGGACCGTGCAGTGAGGCTGGTCTGTGTGATTGGTGGGTCCCTGCAGCTGGTGATATCTCTACAATCACTCTGGTCGAAATCAGGTTGCAAGGGTAGAAAGTCATGTACCATGACTTGTGCTGACTGATCATCGATAGAGATGGGTGTCAAGGGCTGTGGAACTCAGGCTGTGTCTCACACCAGGTGACCCACACATTCAGTGTGGTCTCTATCATGGTCATAACGGCTGGTATAATGCTGTCTGCTATTCCCACCATGACTTAGGTCTGATGTAGTCAGAAAGTCATGGTGACCTGGAGATGTGCTGTCCAACTTCTTATCCTGCCCTTTTTGACTAGTCATCATAGCACATATACTGAGTCAAAAAAGAAACTTCACAAAATGTAATTCTCTGATGATACATCTATGTATCCGAAATGGGATCCCTATCTTTCGACTCTAGAAAAACGTTAGCAAAACCCACTCAAACCCATCCATTCGTCGTGCAAATGACGTTAGTGCCAACTCAGGTTTTGCACGTGCAGTCGATCACGTGATCTTTCGCATCGAAGTTTTCTTCATATGCACATGT